GAAAAGTAAATATCGATGTAAAATATCACAATTGTAAAATTATAATTATTAATTATTGCATATAAGTATTTTTATAGACGACAAAAGATAATAAAATAAGTAGAAATAAAATTCTGTGAGCACTTGGCAATTACTTCGATTTTCATTTGTATTTCAGGTTAAGTTAGGAAACTTTTTAAGAAATAACAAAAATTTAACAGATAATAATGAGTGGTGGCGTGGTACCTAGTAAATCAACAGTTTACATTTCAAATTTACCTTTTTCATTAACGAATAATGACATACATCAACTTTTACAGAGTTATGGGAAAATTGTAAAGTAAGTTATAAAACCTAATCTTGACATTATGTACCACTTTATAAGAATTATTTACATTAATTAAATATACGGTAAGAACTACACTATTTAGTTTTCTCTATGCATTTATATATATCCCTAAATCCCACACTTTTTAAAATCATATAAATTTAATTATTTCTTTAGGTTTTTGATATATACTGATTTTAATGAGGTGCAAAAGTTTGTAATAGTTAGATGCAAAATTAAAAACAAAAATTTTGTATTTCATAACCTTTTAAATTTTAGTCTATCTCTTTGAACTATAAATAATTTAAAATATGATATTTTAATTTATCTGTAGAGTGACAATAATGAGAGATAGATTTACACGAAGGAGTCGTGGTGTTGCATTTGTATTATTTCTTACACCTGAAGATGCTATTTCATGTGCCAAAAGCTTGAATAGTACAGAGGTAAATTATTATTTGTATGTTTAAATAATATTTGTTATATCCTATCCTTAATAGATTACTTTTTAACAGATAGGTGGTCGTACAGTAAAAAGTTCTATAGCAGTAGATAATGGACGTAGCACTGAATTTATTCGTCGAAGAGACTATCCAGATAAATCCCAATGTTATGAATGTGGAGAAGAGGGTCATTTATCATATAACTGCAGGTACAATACATTGGGGCCAAGAAATCCACCATTAAAGAAAATTCGAATAAAGAAAAAGAGTAAATTTAGTAATAGTCACCATGAAAATGATTGTAATGCAAATAGTGATGATGAATTAGCAGATGATAATTGGGATGAAGAAGTAGAAACATTAAGTGCTGCTATTGCATTAGAAGTAATATACCTTTAAATTTTATTTATAATATTTAACT